GCAGACGGGTCCTATTCATTGACTGTTACGAACCGCACTGTACGTACTCTGGGTACTTCGGATTCGACTGCCGCATGGGAAACTGCAAATTCATCTGCAAGGACGACTACTGTGATTACAATCGTGGTTCTGTAAGATCCGCGATCCGCTTGGTTCATCACTAGACGAAGCCGTCAAACGGGGTGCCCACACGGTCCAAGCTCGCATTCTTTTCCCCGTATGACTTCTAAAAAGAGATATTTTGATCGTATTTTATGTGAAGATTCCGTAACATCCCACAGCCATCTTTACGTCTGTTTTTCAACTGCCTTTCCATTTCCATAATCGCTAGATATCATTTTGCCATCGGTCATCGCACGATTTCTCGCACGCACAAACAAAATCTCACCTCCCCCACCACATTAGGCTAATCAGGTAGAAATTGTGGATCGTGATTGGTTGTTTGTAGCGTTACCTGTAGCCTGGTGTTTCGTCGGGTGACAGCCGTTGCCCCATAAACAACCAAGTGATTTTTGGTTTAGGATTGCCCTCGGCTCCACAGGTCAGCGTGATTGTGTTGTTGAGGAAGACAACCGCGCGTTCACTGAAATCGACAATCTTGGGTTCACCTAGGAAGGAAAAAATAGCAAATGCGTAGAAAGGGCAGACAAATTCAGCAAAAAATTATCTTTAATGGGGGAAATGCAGCTCTCAAATAACAGCGTGCTTTCTTTAAATCGCCACCGACTGGTCTTTTAGAGCCTACATTAAATTAGCGCTACACGAGTGAGGGAAGCGTTTCGATGATGGAGGCATGACCGGTATCCCCGAAAGGGCAATTGCCTGGTGAGAAACGCCTACGATTCTCGCAGGCAGGCCGGTCTTCCACGCAAGTCTATTGGTCTTCAAGCAAGTTGGGCCCAGGTTCTGTCTGGTTAAGTTGGACTATGTTTTAGAAAGCGCAACTATCAATAACCATTATGCATAAGGACGGGAAGACAGACTCAAGAGCAGTTGACCATTTGCCAAGAGATA